GAGGAGGCCACGGCGGCCCGGGGCAATAGCATCCCGGCCTCCAGGCCCGGGGACGAGGGCGTCTCTTTCCGCTTTGACTTCAACGCATTCCGGAGCCGCCTCCGCCACCCCGTCCTGGGAATGAGGGCCGATGAGAGTCAGGAGCCCCAGAGCCGAGTGCGAGCCCAGCGGGAGAAAGTCAAGGAGGTATGAACTCAGCCCCCACAATTCTTCCCACCAGTTGCCCCCACTAAGGAGAAGATCCTCTTTCCCTTGCCTCAGTCACTCCTGATCCCGGTGCTCCCACCCCTTTCCCTTGCCTCAGTCACTCCTGGTCCCGGGTCTACTTATGGCCCTGCAGACTACACTTTGCACCTTCCCCTTTCCTCCCAAGTGTCCCACCTTCTGTCCTCCCTACACAGTTTCCCACCACTCGGGTCAGTTAATCGTCCCCACCGTGACAGATGGCAGCTGAACCCCTAGACCAACTGCCCCCTCACTCCCAGACTCTGGTCTGTCCTGTCCAACCTCCAGCCCCAGTGAGCCCCACTCCTTCCCTTTGCGGAGTTGCTAATGAGAGAGGAGTTCGTTTCTTAGTGCACCCGCTTTTTGCATTTATGGACACAGAGTCACTGGTTCCATTCTTTTTCACTGTGTAACCTTAAGTCCAAAACCCCTGTAGGACCTGCTTACCTGAAAACCCAGGATTTAAGGGGATATTTGGTGTCCTGCAAATATTTTGTAATCTAGTAAGCAACCTACAAACCAGAGGATATTGTGCATTCTGTTTCTATTGAGCTTTGGAACAATTGTACACGATTGTACATAATTGCATGTGATGCAGGAAGAGATGATAAAGCAGTGGTCATGTTACGGAAGCTCCGAGGTTATTGGCTTAATGAAGCAGGTCTTGAGCTGGTTCCCTGTAGGGATTGTACGAGGAGGGATTTAGAAGGATCACTTTAAGTCTGAATCTTAGTTTAAGAAATCAGAAGCAAACACAAGCCTCACAAGGCTTGAAGACAGTTGCCAGTTTGCTACTGCTGACTAAATATTCTGCTGGACCACTGTTAGAACTGCCTGCGTGCGGATGGTGCCCAGCAATGCAGAGGGGGCTGCAGTGACACCCCCAGGCCACGAGGGGGCCGTGGGCAAGCTGTGGGCCAGGGTCTCCTCCCTAGAAACGAGAGGATGCTCTCCCCTCCCCATGGACTCAAAGGAAAGAAAGGACTGCTTTTGCCTGGACTTTTGATTTGCTGCAAAGAAGTCAGCAGGTCGGCCCTGATTTCCAGGAAGAGCAGGCAGCAAGGATCAGGACCTGCTCTGTCAAGACCTGCTCAGAGCCGATGGAGAGCTTAGCCAGATTATCCCCTTCTCCTTGTCTGAACTATTCTCCCTTCCAGCACCCACCTCTCTTCCACTTTTTATTTCTGCTGTTACTTTGTTTGGAGACTTAACTAGCAATCACAGGACATTTTGTGAAGTTACAATAGGAAGCCTACAAGGAAGCTGAGTGCTTGGTATGTGTGTGTGTGTGTGTGCGCATGTTTGTGTGCTCTCAGTTTCCAGATTCCTGTTGAAATCTCAGGTTGATTGAAAGCTGGAACTTGCAGTAGCTAAGTAAGGGGCATTAATTTCTCCCTTTCTTGTTAAGGAACTAAGCTGTTGAATACTCAAAAGCACCACCCATAGCTCTTTCTCAAAGCTGCTTCTGAGCACAGTGGCTCTTTTTGCCCCTCTCAGCCTCCTAGCAGGGCAGTGACCCCCGGTGAAATTACATATAAATTGCATGCATGCAGTTTTTCATGGGGCATCCAGAGGTGCTATCGGATTTTCAAACTGCCCAAAGGGTTAAGAATTAACTACCGTCCTCCTCAGAAGAGATGCTCTCCGTGTTTGCACTTAGATGGTGGTCCATTTCCGAATGCCTGGGGCTGGGAGTCACGGCAAGAAGGGCGGGCTGGCTCGTAGGGAACTTGATTTTCCCTCTCTGTGTAAGACAGTTTCTTTTGCCAGCAGAGTCTTGGATGATGCTTGCTGGAGTGACTGGAGGGCGGTAAGAGGGGTGAGGATTCTGTGCTTTGCAGGCGGGAATAAAATAATGTGATGGGAGAAGGTCTAAGTTGGTGGCCAGATGTCTGGATCTTTCTAGCTGGCATCTTCTTGCACCCCCTGGTACTAGCTGGAGGCATGCTGCATGTACTTGGAGTTAGTGTTCAGCTAGCCCTCTCTTACTAATCTTGAAGACCTTAAGCTTCTCAGAATGGAGAGGACTGGTTTCTGTGTTTTGAAAGCTATTGACTCTTCAGGCTTCCTGCCACTGACCACGCTCCCATTACAACCCAAAAGATGTAGAGTGGTTTTTGGTTTAGTTGTTAACACAGTTACCATTCCTGCTGTCCCACCCCAGGAAGAACGCATATGATGGTTGCTGGAGGATGTCTTTATTTCCTTCACATTTGAATTCTATCTGCGTCATGCCCAGGGGTAGATCATTTTAGAAAGGTGCCTGTTTTCACAAAAGGGACTGTTGCTTTCCTCTCTGGTTTGTTTATTTCCAGACATGGATTGATTAAATCCAAGGAACAGAGGGGGAGCTGGCATCACATAAAAAAAGGCCCTGTTCTTATAAGATTTTAAAGTGAAAGTAAATATCAGGAGAGAGTCAGAGAGGGTGATAAATGAGCATGAGTGAAAACTGGACGCTTGGACTCTGGATCAACACCGTGTATTCATGAGCATCCTGACAGATGGACGTGGTCACCAGGTCTGTGTTGATAAGATGGTTGAGGCTGCAGGTTCTGGACATGCATACGTCAGGAAACACTCTGTCACTAGAATCAACTATTTTTCCTCACTTTCCAATTTTGGAACCTTGGCAAAAGCAATGTGGTGGAGAGAGGAGACCCACAGAACATGGGTTGGAGTTTCAGCTCACTCTCAACTGTCTGACTTTGGGCAAGCCACCTCTCCTTCCTGGACCTTCTTGTAAAATGGGGTGAGGGAGAGGAGAATAAGCTGGTTATAGACCCTCTTGCTTCTGGCCCTGGCCCCTAAGTGAACTGCCAGTCTGGTCAGGGACTCCATAGCAGCTGGGCTTTCCGAACTCTGTTTTGAGATATCTTGTACTGGAAGTCAGGGACAATGGTGTGATGGTAGTGGTGGTGTTGATGGGGTCGTGATATTCACTGCTGTATCTCTGTCTAGCACCTAGCCAAGAGTAGACATTCAGGCTGTTGATTAAGTTAATTATTCCCATTACCCTCAGCTTGGAATCATGAAGAGTAAAGGTGTTGGCTAGAATGTAAAGGGGTGAAGGCTTGGTAGTAGCCTTGCCTTTCAGATCTGAGGATAATATAGGAAATGGGGGATGTCATTCATAGGCGGGTTTCCTATGGATTCAAGTTCAAACGAACTTGTCTCACACATGGAAATGTACAGCTTTTTCTGGTTATTACTCAGTGGAAGAATTCAGACTGCCCTGGGTCCTACCCATGATTCTTGGTTGTGTTTTTGTTGTTGTTTTTGTTTGTTTGTGTTTGTTTTGTTTTGTTTTTTAAGACGGAGTCTTGCTCTGTCGCCGAGGCTGCAGTGCAGTGGTGTGGTCTTGGCTCACTGCAGCCTCCGCCTCCCAGGTTCCAGGTTCAAGTGATTCTCATGACTTAACCTCCCAATTAACTGGGATTACAGGTGCCCCACCACGCCTGGCTAGTTGGTGTATTTTTAGTAGAAACGGGGTTTTGCTGTGTTGGCCAGGCTGGTCTCGATCTCCTGACCTCAGGTGATCCACTTGCCTCAGCCTCCCAAAGTGCTGAGATTACAGGCACGAGCCTCCGCGCCCGGCCAGTGCTTGGTGGTTGTTCTGGGGAACCTGTTCCTTCCAGTGAAGGGGGCTTGTTATAAAAGGGAATTAAGCTGGCTGGGGCACTGAGAACGCGTTGGGACTTGCCCTTGACCATATGGTGTTTTCAAACAAACCACAGAAAGGGCTCCTTCCTCTGGTCAGATGCAGCACCAGCACCACTCCAGAGTGCAGGGCTGGGTGAGGAAAATGTGGATTGAATTTCCCCACCTTCCCTGTGCTGTTGGCCCAGCGTTCTTATAAACCACTGTATGCCGCAGTTCTGTTAAGAATCCAAGCTGGGTCAAGTCGTAGCTGGTCCATCAACTCTGATTGGAAATTCCTGTTTATTACTGGACCTCAGTCTTCATGGTAAAACCAAAAGGTTGTCATTTAGGGGACCCTTCTGTCTCCTCCACTTCCACCTCTTTACTGTTTTGTTTATGAATCTGCCCAAGCACCTAGAATAGGGTCTGACATTTAGTTGGAACTCAGATACTTGAATGAATGGCTACATTAAAGATGTATAAACTAACAGTTAAGGTTGCTAGTGGCCGAGGCTGGGTCTTCTCCCTCAGGGTACCTGGAATTCCAAGGAGCCTCAAAGTAAGAGCTATAGTCAGGTTTAGAAGCTTAGCAGCTCAGTGACCCAGCAGGCCTTTTAGAAGTTGCAGCAATTTTCTAAGGGCAAATCTGACTTGAGGGAGTGGAGGTGGCACCCATGAGTAAAATCTCTCATGCCTAGATAGCAGGCATCGAAGGGTGCCTGTGATTTGGCAGGGAGTGCCCCAGCTCTTGCCCTCTGTGCCTGCTGCATTCAGCCACCAGGGTATTGCTGGTTATGATATGTGACAGTGTCTGAATAAGTCATCTTGGCAAATGATCTTTGCTCCCCATTAACGGGCTGGTTCGTTAGTCATGTGTGGTTTTTTTGTGGTTTCTCTGTATATCTGATTTATCGTCACTAGTGCCAGGGACAGGTAGGAAAATTAAAAGGCTTTGTAGCATGTGAATCTGAGCCTGTGAGATGTTCAGGATAATTAATATTAGGAACAGCTCAGATTTAAATAGCTTTCCTTCAAAGAGCTCTGTTTGAGTTGCATATCCATTCAAGATCCTTTCCCTCCTCCCTGGTCCTTCAGTCTCTTCTGTTTCCCTCTTGTCCTGCTCTACAGTACGTTTAACATAGGTGGAGACTGGCCTGTAATAAGTGAACAGGCCCCTTGGAAAACCCTTATGTCCTCAGCCCAGCTACACGCCTCCTCCTTCTGTAGGACAGAGTGTGCAGTTGAGTAAAGCTTAGTACTTGTCCCTACCAGGTATACAACTTAACTCCCACATGTTGATTGGGTCTCTGCTTTCATTT